GCGGTGTGTGTGTGTGTGTGTGTGTGTGTGTGTGTGTGTGTGTGTGTGTGTGTGGCGGGTGTCACTCGCCACGCGCTGCGCAACCTTTCCCCCTCTTCCTTCCTTAGCGGTGTGGGGAGGAGAGGATTCGAAGATCCTCACGTGCGGCGTACTTTTCTTTTTCTTTTTTTCTTTTTGCACGCAGGTTTTGCATGCGGGCGGCTGTAGGTTAAGGATGGGGGAGCCCCCGGGTGGGTTATCAGGTTTTACGGTGCTTCCAACATGTGCGAACGGTGGGAGAGCGGAGAAGAGAGCGAGCGAGCGCCCCGCTGTGTGAAATCCTGCCGTCAAAGCAACACTGGGGGAGGCAGGGTATAAATTTACCAGGTTAATGTAGCAATGGTGATTAATGCCCAGAACATTGTTTGCGGGTATTGGGGTGTGTGTGTGTGTGTGTGGTGGTGGTGAGGAGAGGTTGTCCTTTGAATGCGGAAAAGTAGGTGTGACCTTGTGTAGGAAAATAAAGAGATCCTTTTTAGCGTGTTTGGCTTCTTTGCCTCCCCTCGTTCGTTTTGACGTGGAGATAATGGCCTTCGGGCGGGAGGAGAAGAAAACGGTAGCTGGATCATTTCAAATTTCACTTACTCTCCTGCCTCACTTCAATATGTCTGAGCGACTCCAGATACTGGAAGACTTTTTGAATGAAAGTGTTACCTCCATTTTTTTTTTTAAAGAGGGCCACTTGGGGAAAAAAAAAGATTCTAAGGAATTCCTTGTTTCTTGATTAAAGAGAAGGCATTGAATATACTGTTCCTTGGCAGCCTTTTCAGTGTCCGGGTTTTTGGTGTGTGTGTGTGTGTGAGAGAGAGAGAGAGAGAGAGAGAGAGAGAGAGAGATCAGCTGTATTGAGAAGAGAATGTTTCCTGTGTTCTCATTTTATTTACAACATATTTTACGCTTAATGGTAAGCAATGAAAAATATTTTTAAAACTCATTTCTAAACTCCATAGCTATTTGCATATTCTTGGTTCAAAATTGGATTAGCTCATTTCAAAATTGTCCAAAGCAGAAAAGTGCGTCAAAAAAAAAAAAAAAGTGCAAAAGTGGAAGGTGTGTGGAAGAGGGGGTAGTCTTATACGGCGAGTATATAACAAACTCTATATTTTGAGTGGAAATGTTGGGGGGTCGTCTTATACGCCCAGTCGTCTTATACGCCGGCAAATACGGTATATGTATATTCTTAACATTAACATAAACAATGTACAAAACAATTTTTAATGTAAAAAAATTAACAGGAACCAAAACAAAAGGATTACTTTCTTACAAATCCATACAAATTATTTATATGTACATAAACTTTATAAAATAGTAATTTGTAAATGGCTCAAGAAAATAACTATTCATGTTGGAACACAAATACATGTAACTGCTTTATGCTCACAACTGTGATTCCTTACACTGAGCATTATTAGCACATTTTTTTTAAAAAAATGATTATGTAAGTTTTAAGAAAGATCATTTTTAAAATGTAAATCAAATGTATATGTATGTATGCCATTTTATTCTCATGTTAAAATAAACAAGAGATATAAGAAGTTTATACAAAGAACAACTGTGTTAAGAACTCACCTACATGAGTTATTTCTGCAAGAGAAAATCAAGGTATGAAGAAGTTAAACCAGATTCATACCGTGTTTCTCCAACAATACGGCCTCCACCAATAGGAAGCCCCACCATGTTTTATTGGCATAAAATCAAATTAAGCCCCTCCCCCCAAATTAAGGCCCATATTAAACATGCGAAATGGGGGGGGAATGGCGGGGGGGGATGGCAGGGGGGGGCTTGCCCTTAGGAAGTACTTTTGTTGCATGCCCGGATATGGTGCTGCCTGAGTTGGTGGGGCACTTCATATCGGGAGACCTTCCACCATTGCTTTCTCTTCTCCCTTGCTGCTATGGCGTTAGGCATTTGGCGCAGCCACGTGCGGCCAGTCAGGGCTCCTCCCTGCAACCGGAGGAGACACTTGGCTTCAGGCGCTCCCGTCTTCCCTTTGCTTTCGAAGGTAAAGCGAATTATTTTACAAAGCCTCCCCTGCCTGAGAGGGCAGCCCAATCCCACGTGGGGAGGCTAATCTCCCGGGGCCTCTTCGGCTCCTCCCCGACCTCCCTACACTGCGCGCCTCTGACGCGCCGGTCCCT